GGCTTTGTACCCGATGCAGAGATAGAGTAACCAAGAAATGTTACCTTAGTCTGGCCAAAACTGCACTTAGCTTCGTTGACGAGGATCCCATATTCTTGTAGGCGGCTAAAAACCTTCTCCAGGTGTTTATTTTTGGAAAATAGAATTATATCGTCTAAATACGAAAAGCAACAATCTAGATCTCGAAGAACCTTATCAATAAACCGTTGGAACGTTTGAGCTGCGTTCCTCAAACCAAACGACATAAACGAAAACTCGAACATTCCAAAGGGGGTAGTTATAGCCGTTTTAGGTATGTCGTCCTTGAAAACTGGTATGTGATGATAAGCTTTCACGAGGTCTATTTTTGAAAATATTGTGCAGCCAGCTAACCGATGTGAGTAATCCTGGATGTGAGGTATGGGATACCTATCTGGAACAGTTTTGGCATTGAGTGCTCGGTAATCGCCACATGGTCTCCAGCTGTCTCCCTTCTTGGGTACTAAATGAATAGCTGAAGCCCAGGGTGAGTCAGAACGTCGAGCTGTACCATCTCGAAGCATCTCCTCAAATTGTTCCTTGGCTATTTTCAAGTGATCTAGCGCCAAACATCGAGGCCTGAAATAAACTGGGAGTCCAGGCGAAGTGCGAATATAGTGCACCGTATTATACTTGACTTCGCGAAATACACCTGGTGGCTTTGTCAGCGATGGGAATCTAGATAATAAAGTGTGGTACTCACTTTTACCCGCGATCGCCTTGATACTATGCAGCTGACAGGGTTTACTCGTAACAGCCGTTGAGAAGTTAGACTATCTAATAAACGACCATTCTTACAATCGACCAGCAATCCATAATGAGCGATGAAGTCCGCCCCTATGATAGGCTTGTCCACATCGGCTACTACGAAATTCCACGAAAAGTCGCGGCGAAGTTCCAGGTTAAGACGCATCTTCATTCCTGGAACCGTTGGCTGCTGTGAGGCTGTAATCAGTAGGTGTTACATATGCACGTAAAAATGTACGAGGCAAAACACAAAGATCGGAGCCAGTGTCGATTAAATATTGAATTTTGCTTTCTTTGTCAGTAACAAATGGGCGACGGGTAGTTGCATGACAGTCGGCTGTCGCCATTACTGACCGTCTCGCGAGTTTTCCTTATTATTGCAAGGATGGATACATTTACTAGCCTTCTCAGCAAATTTGTAATGGTACCAACAAATACCCGACTTCCTAATCTGACCTGGTCCGGCGCTTCTAGATCTACTCCTTGACCTTGACCTACTAGACCGCCTCCGGAACAACTGACGACCATGCTCTGTATCTATATTCAATTGGAATAACTGGTGGCTTAACTCTGTCTTAATGCGTGACGAAATCATCTCCTCTAACCGTTGAAACATTCCTTCCATACTATTCGATGAAATACTAGCAACTTGATTGGGGGTAGGAACAACGTCATAAATTTGATCAGCAAGAACGGCAACCTTATCGAGACAAGTAGCGTTTTGTGACGCAATAATAACTTGAATATGCGTTGGAAGGCGACCTGACCACAGGCTGCGTAAAAAATCGTCACTAACACCATCCCCTGCTAAAGCTCTAAGGTGGCGCAAAAATTGCGACGGCTTGCAATTACCTAACTTTTCATGAGTAAGCAATTGACGCATACGATGTTTCCGGGAAACCGAAAGACGACTAATAAGTTCCTGTTTTAATTTCTCGTACTTGCCGATCGACGGTGGGTTTGTAATTATGTCCCGAACCTACGCTACGTTGATCTAACTCACGAATCACTTGAAAAAATTTCGTACTATCACCTTTTATTTCCGTGCACGCGAACTGAGCTTCAACCTACGCAAACCAAATTTCGGATCGAAGGATCTTCCGGCCAAAATGCGGGCAAACGTAAAGTAACTCGGGCCACCGCACTAGTATCTTCACCGCTCGCGTCCTTAAATTCTTGCGCGACGTCATCGCTATCGCTACGAGGTGGATTCATTACATCACGTCGGGGTCATCACTGAGGATGTAATGTTACTATCCCTACAAATAGCGAGCGGATACGAAGTGAAACACCGTAGAAGAAATACAATTCGTATACTGATAATAATTATCGAGATATTGACAAATAATAGAATGGCTTTATGAAGCCAAACGTGGAAAGCCCTTGGAAATACTGTGCGACAGAAAAGTGGAAGAAAGGGTCTCCTTCACGGAATCGGACCACCCCGGGAGCAGTAGCGTGATAGGCTTTGAGTGTTTGGAAAATGCGGAGGAGGACGGCAAAACGGCAGAAGGTCTTGTGAAGATATATACAGATAGTAGCAAACTGGAGGGAAAGGTTGGAGCCGCCCTGACCTGTTGGAAAGGGCAGGCGGAAGTCCTTTCCCGAAAGTTTAAGCTGGAGCCATACTGTACAGTCTTCCAAGCCGAGCTGTATGCCATCCTCCGAGCCACAGAATGCGTGCTAGGGAAAGAATGGAAGGAGGTCGCCATGCTCAGCGACTCGAGATCCGCTCTCCAGTCGCTAGCTGATCCAGACTCCTCGCACCCGATCACAAAGGCAATACAGGGAAACCTGGTCCAACTTAGGGAAAACGGCAAAACCGTATCCCTACACGTCGGTGCGGTTGGGAACGAGAGAGCGGATGAGCTGGCGAAGGGAGCGGCTCTCGGGTTGAAATGCAAATCGCACTATGACGGATGCCCCATCTCTTTTGTCAAGCGACATTTACGCGCCGAGACAAGAGTAGAATGGGGCAGACGATATAGGAGCGAAAGCACGGCGGCCACAACAAAGGCATTCTTCCCTAGTGCGGAAAATGCCTTTGGAATAGTAAGAAAGATGCAGATTGACAGGATAGCTGTTCAGATACTCACGGGGCATGGAGGTTTTTCCGCCTACCTCCATAGATTTAAGAAGAAGGATAGCCCTAGCTGTATATGCGATCCAAGCGTAGAGGAGGACATCTTCCATGTCCTCATAGAATGCCCTCTGTACGGAGCATACAGGCACACACTACAGACACGCATAGACAGAAAAATCAGTAAAGACACATTGTGGGAAATAATGGAAAATAAGAAAGAAATGAAGGTATTCCTAGAATATAGTAAAAAAGTTGTAGAGAAAGTGATTGAGAGAAAAAAAGACTAGAAATGTAAACATAAGTTGAATCTGTAATGTTATATAAACAACGTCAATCAGTCTTTGGCTGAATGTTACTACACCCATAGCCATTAAAAATGATTCGTATGTTTTCCAAACCGGTAAAATTAAAAGTCCTTTTTAAAATGAATACATTATACAAAGGTGTCCGTTAAAATCTAATGACTGTAAAATAAAGTATAAATTACGCCAAGAATTACCGTACATGTCAATATTTTTTGTACATTTAGGCCAATTCGAGCAATCTCCTTTGACATTAACATTTCGATTTGCAAACTATTCGAATTCGATAATGGTTCGTGCTAGGGGTACAGTTTGGATTTATCTCGAAGAAAGTTGTCCAAAAAATGCTCACTTTTGAAGCATGTTTGAGAAAAGTGATTTTTTTTTTAGTACAACTTTTCTTTACATTTCTAGCAGTTACATGCTTAAAAAAAAGTTTATTTTGTTAAGAAATTTATATCGTATTTATCACACTAACATTTGCCCCATCGCACCGGGATTTGCACCCTGTACCTCTGAGTAGGCGACACCTTGAAACCAGCGTACTTACACCTCGGCACACTTCTTGAGTAATGTCCAGCAAGCTTCAGTTTTACATGTAAAAAAGTCTACTGCGCAAGTTTATTTGTCTGTGGTTTTTCTTAAGAAGTTTGCAGCTGCCCATACCACTCGCGCCATGCAGGTGTACGGTATCGCTGATTTATTTAAATTAAAATGGTAGTGTTATGTCATTCAAGCATAATCTGGTCACCAGAACAGAGTAAGCCCTGTGCCTGACTGAATAGCGGACGTAATCAATTTAACTAACTGACTAATTGCGTGCTTATAAATAAATGTGGATAAGCTTATGCCATACCGTACACTTTTTACTCTCGGTATGAACTTTTGTTTATTCTTCTGTTTTAGTCTAAATAGTGTTAGGTTTGTTGTATCAAAGAGTATTTTTTAAATTTATTTGTTAAAAGTAAGTCTTTGGACTTGCAATATCGAGTAGAGGGGATGGTGATGTGCACGTGGCGAGTGTTGGCATTCTTGGCTGGGACTGATCGTTTGTGTAATATGGTGAGTGAATAATAAATGTGTATCAATTGTTGCATCGTTGTATTTTATTATAATAGCCAAATGATAATAAATAGTCTTGAGGATAACTTGACTACAGGGTAATTTTAACAAAATAAAAAAAAATGTTGGCCCTTCAAGCTATTAAAAAGTTATATTAACAGCCAGCCAATGACGTTAAACTAAATTTCTTTTAATATTTCTCCTAATTTTTTGTTTTATACATAGCTGCGACTCTTTGAGTCAAGTCAATCCCCCTTTCTCTATGTTTCAGTAAAAGTGTGGGGATTTACTGGAACCTCCCCGTGGACTTCTTGAGGGAACGTCGAAAGACACTTTCCGCTATTTTGTTTCACTTGCCAACACTTGTGCATATTCCCGAATACTTAGTGGATAATAATCCACCATTATTAGAATGAACTAATATCAGCTACAACACAATTTTTAACAAGAAAAACAAAACTGCTAAAGTGTCGTTTTCCGATCCCGCCAAAAAGTCCCGATTTCACACACGCATCATGCATGACTGACTGATTGACATTTGCTATAGTGATTTAGTTGACGTTGTAGGCTGCCACCAAGGAACTTATATTTTATCGATAGAATATAAGTTCCTTGGCTACCACACACTAAGAATATGACGTTACACGTGACAGGGTGGCCAGCAAGTTTTTTATAAAATTGTTCATTTTTTAAAAACGTTTTAAAATTAATCGGAGATAAATAAAAAATTTAAAGTATTCGTACGTGTTATAATATAAAACGAGCTTTCAAATAATATTATGTTTCGTCGCTGCCGGAAACCGACTACCACTTTTGAGGCGTCTCCTTTCTATTCTTGGAACAATTAAAATCTGCCTTATTCAGTCGACACAAAATACCTTTTTATAGTGGATGCTGCACAGTTTGTGTGTCTTCCGCTTGTTCTGACTCAAAACGAACTCTAGTAACATATTTCCTTAAGGATATCAAATAACAGAGGCTTGAAAAAGAAATATAAATATCACGTGAAAACGATGCTTCTGTTCCGCATGGCACTGACATATTGAAAAATAACAATATCGAAGCATCCAGTTAACGTGACTCAATCGCAGGGTCTTAGTGGTTCCAGAATGATTTGTTTAAAATGGATTATATTTGTGTATTTATTTGCCACTTTAACAGGTAATGTACTATATGCCTTTATTTTAATTTTTAAGTTCAATGTTTATTATAATTTTATTTGTTACTGATTAAAAAAGTGTCATTACATGTCAATATAGCAGCTAGCAGAAGAATACTAAAAATCATAACATTTTTCGTTTCGCGTTTACTAAATTGAGATATTTCTAGTAGAATCCTTTTTGTAACAGTACTCATATGTCAGTTAGTATTACAGCTTGCTCAGAAAACGTTCCTGGAAAACAAAAATAATATTTATTGAATATCACTGCTTACAGGAATATAAATGAAAGTAAATTTTCACATAGATTCACATAGACATGAAATCAAACTAAACATTTTTTGATGCCTTGAAATATAATTAAATACGAATATTAAGAGGGGAGGCGGGCAATATTTTTCCATACAAACGTTCTTGACTGATTCCTCTTTGATTTTTATCAGTAAAGAATTGATTTTGGTTCATAAAATATAATTTTACTCATTCTATGCTCAGTTGTCTTCCTTTTTTCGATAACTTCTGTTTCAAAGAAACTAGAAGTCCTCAATAATGCCAAAATAAACAAATTTGTATCATCACTAAAGAATTCTAGTATGGAGATTTAATAAGGCAGGCATTACTTAACTATGGGTAAAATTGCCTTTATATAATGTTTAATTTTCGAGGAGAATATCGTCGAGAGCCAAACTCGAATTTTGCAATTTTATACGCAATTTTTAGCGTTAACTACTGTACTCCCTATCGCACGGTATTTGCCAATGCGTGACAGCAATAGTTTTTTCAAATACCTTTTTTTCAAATGTCTCTCAGCTTGTGCCCGCTCTTAAGACGCCAGTAATAGCTACTCATACATTAAAAAACAAATCTGCTAAGCAGTAGATTGGCAATCTGACACCTTTGTTTTCAAACAACAACTCAGTCATAATTACACCTGGGTAGAGGTGGTTAATATAGCATATAGCGCCATATTATAGCACGCTATATGTACCTAGCACGTATCGCATGCTATTTAAGAAAGCTACTAGACGCTATGCGTTATGGTGCTATGTTGAGTTGAGTGACCGCGCGGCAGCAGGTGGCGCTAGACGCGACGCTACCAGGCAGGCCTGCCCGTGATCGCATGTGCGTTGATAGCAACGTCGCAGCGTCGCAGCAGAAAAATAGTTACTATCGCGGACGATTTCAAAGTGTTTTCTAATATAATAAAATTATTTCTTAATTATATATTGTGTTTGTAACTTCTTTATATAGTTAAAATAGTGTAAATATTATTATATAGAAAACAATATTGCAATCAAATTATATCATTTATATTATTTCGCATACCAACCTTCAAACTTAATAAAATTTTTGTCTGCCTGTCAACAGGGCTCCATGTTGACATACAATTTAATATCAAATGAAAATGTGCGTAATGTTTACAGACATTAATATACTAATCACTTTCAATGAAACATTTATATACTGTTTAAGTTATATTTTTCTCTAACATAAATAAACTTTATTACATAGACAACAAAGTTTCATAAATGTACTTGCGATTGCACACTCCATCTAAAGAATTTTAAGCAAACTATCCTAACGGTCACATAATTTAAAAGCACAGATGCTACAAAAGCACTGCCGTAATCGTACAGAAAAATGCATAATTTCCCTATAGATGGCTGCACTAAATATTTAAAAAAATATTTACATATTTTACGAATATTAGATAGAAGCTATCTAACGATAATGACCATGAAATAAACCATTAACAATCACAGATATAAACAAATAATGATTTTATAAGTTGACCCTACCGGGGATCGAATCCGGGACCCTGCGAGATTGCGACGCTATACATAATAAAGTACAACGAGATCTAGCGTGCTGCAACGCGCCAACGGTCCGCCACAAGCTTCCAAGTAAATAGCGCGCTATTAAAATAGCGTATTTATTAGCGCGCTATTTAAAAGAAGCATATAGTTTGCAGCACGCTATTGCTTTATAGCGGCTTTGAACACCTCTGCACCGGGGTGGGTAAATTTTCTTTTTTTTTTAATGGTGTGTTACTATTTTATATTCAACTCTTGGCATGAAGATTTATTGACAATAAATTAAAGTGGTTTAACTAAATCTCAATATTATTGCTATTACAAAAATAAGAGCTTTTGTAAATCAGCAATATAATTATTAAAGAACTACAAAGAAGAAGAGAGAAAAAAAGAAGATGTGGAAGAAGAGTAGTTTTAGGTATGTTTATTAGGTTTTCACGCACATCACTCATTAAATAAAACTAGTTTTTACGGGTTAATGCACGAAAACTTTATTTATTTATTGACGTTTCGTAGTCTTTACAGGCTACGTCGTCAGAATAAAACTTTTATTTAATTTGTCGAGCTACCTTCGAAAGACTTTTATTGAGCGTTTGGTTATTTCATTGTTCGATTTTTAAGTTTTGTTGTCTATGTATGAATTTATTATTTAATCTACTTAATAAAGTATTTTATTTAAAATTCTTGTTTGTAATTTTGAGTTTATTTATTTGACCCTAACTACCGTAAACTACCACCGGTTCCAAAATTGGGAGACCTTCCTGAGAAGAACCGTCGAAACAAACTCAAGAGAGGCTTTCTATCTCCTTCTTATGTTAAATTATGCAAACAAAAAGAACTAATAGTATCTGATGGTCTTGCAGTGTGTGCTCGGGGTTGGGATTTTATCTCCTGTATAATAGGTTCCCAAGCTGGTGGTATATACCAACCATCTTCCCTATTGAAATTTGGATATTTTTTAATCTCAATAGCCTCGCGCATCATTCGAGGAACGAACCGCCGCTCAGCTGCAAGGATCTGTGGTCTATCAAATCTAATGTAGTGGTTTGGTCCCCCTAATGCATGTTCACACACTGCAGATTTATTTTCGCGCCTATGTTTCATATCTGCGATATGTTCTTTTACCCGAGTCCCTATACTCCTCTTTGTTTGCCCGATGTAGGAGAGCCCACAGTCGCATTCAAGTTTGAAGACATCAGCAACTTGAAAGGGTATATTGCACTTGACCGGTCGTAGAAACTGGTTGATAGGTACCATTGAGGTACCTATCAGTATGAGTCACTTTACGATACACAGTATGGCTTAAACTTTGGTCAGGATTACTGATTAATAAAATATCTAGAAAATTAATTACCTCAATGGTGACTCACACCATCACCCGAAACAATTAACTGCCGTAGGAAACTCTTTGTTTCAGAGAGCACGGGGTGTCTGTGACGAACAACACCTGGCAGCTGAACTTCAGCATGTCGAGCAAGTACTGAAGGATAATAACCTGAATGTACCACGTCGCCGTCACAGTCGTGCCAAACCTAGCACAGTCGACCGACAACCTGCTATACTACCTTACATGAAAGGAGTCACTGACAAGATTGGGAGGATTCTGAAGCGTGCTTCAATCAATACATACTTCAAGCCGCCTAAGAAGATCAACCAGTTTCTACGACCGGTCAAGTGCAATATACCCTTTCAAGTTGCTGGTGTCTTCAAACTTGAATGCGACTGTGGGCTCTCCTACATCGGGCAAACAAAGAGGAGTATAGGGACTCGGGTAAAAGAACATATCGCAGAGGAGTATAGGGACTCGGGTAAAAGAACATATCGCAGATATGAAACATAGGCGCGAAAATAAATCTGCAGTGTGTGAACATGCATTAGGGGGACCAAACCACTACATTAGATTTGATAGACCACAGATCCTTGCAGCTGAGCGGCGGTTCGTTCCTCGAATGATGCGCGAGGCTATTGAGATTAAAAAATATCCAAATTTCAATAGGGAAGATGGTTGGTATATACCACCAGCTTGGGAACCTATTATACAGGAGATAAAATCCCAACCCCGAGCACACACTGCAAGACCATCAGATACTATTAGTTCTTTTTGTTTGCATAATTTAACATAAGAAGGAGATAGAAAGCCTCTCTTGAGTTTGTTTCGCCGGTTCTTCTCAGGAAGGTCTCCCAATTTTGGAACCGGTGGTAGTTTACGGTAGTTAGGGTCAAATAAATAAACTCAAAATTACAAACAAGAATTTTAAATAAAATACTTTATTAAGTAGATTAAATAATAAATTCATACATAGACAATAAAACTTAAAAATCGAACAATGAAATAACCAAACGCTCAATAAAAGTCTTTCGAAGGTAGCTCGACAAATTAAATAAAAGTTTTATTCTGACGACGTAGCCTGTAAAGACTACGAAACGTCAATAAATAAATAAAGTTTTCGTGCATTAACCCGTAAAAACTAGTTTTATTTAGTTTTAGGTATGCTTAAAATCAAAACCTAATAATAAATTGATTTGCATTTGACATATTTTTCTTTACATATACGAGTATGTATTTGTTTTATATAGTCAATCATTTTGATGAAGCTTTGAAGTGTAACAAGCCTAATGTCATTGAACTGTGCTTTCTCTTATTTTATTTCAGTATATTTTTCTAAGAAAATCTCTTTGACGTCTGTCGTTAGCGTACGAAGATATGGAGCAAAACAGCTCTACAGCTGAATGACACTTAATCATTACCTATATCCGTCCTCCAAGTGGTTCTCCGTGTAATACTTTCCTAGTTTCTATTTCAGTTCATATTCATGTGAAAAAGCAATTTTCATCAAGCCCTTATATTTGACTAGAACTATCTATTGAGTGTACTGGAACTAACTGTAACGGTGTCATCATGAAAAAACCATTTGATTCAGGCATCGGTCATTCTCACGACCAGGTTTCTTCGTATAATTTCCGTCATCGAAATCATTAAATTCCTTGCACTGACAATAAAACTTGAAAAACATGTTTAACTATATAAATGTGTGCATATCATATATTTTTTTAGTTTTATCATTCTTTTATTTTGGAACTTATAGGGGGGGGACACATTTTACCACTTTGAAAGCGTCTCTAGCGTCTATAGGTAATTTTTGAAGACCTAACCATAGATATACGTATGAGTTTGATGATTTTTTTTT